CCCCAAAACCCCAAAACCCCAAAACCCCAAAACCCCAGGATGAAATATTTAACTTGAAAATTGTAAATATATCTAAAATTTGTTCATAAGTTTTCTTAGGTGGATCAGCTAGAATAACGTTGAAGCTGACTCGTCAATAAAGTCTAAGAATTCTGATACTTTTTACATTCCAATAGTTTCCATAGTGATATCCTTCACAATCTTCTTGTATACCCTGAGCTTGCGTTTAATCCTGAGTTCATCCCTCTGCTTCATAGTTTTATAGAGACACTTCTGGGTCGGTCTTTTTGGACCAGCAGAGAATCATCTTCTATGATTTGGCCTTATTGTGCCAAAATTCTCGCTTAAATGACCTTTCTTTGTTAAATTATGAACTTTAGGTGACTTTACTTCTCTAAACTGTCACCTTTTCCCCATGATTTTTTTCGGCGACTTATTAAATTTCTTCGAGTATTTTTGAGTGGGATTTTTAGGAGGAAAATTAGAGAAGAAAATTTTATTCGGGCTGTTTAGGGATTTTAGGCGGTTTTGAGGGGGATTTTTGGGAATGGGGTTGAGGAGGGTGATGGGCTTGGGGTTGGGGATGGTGGGTTTTCGGGGGTGGGAGAGGGGGTGCTTGGAGTGGGGAGTGGGAGAGAGGTAGGAAGGACTGGTGATGTGGACTTTGGGAAGGAGGGAGTTTTTGGGGATGGGGAGGTGGGAGATGTGCTTTAGAGGAGGGGTTAGAGGGGGAGAGAGGGTGGAGAGGGTACTTTATTGGGTTTGCGCTTGGAAAAATTGTGTTGTGAGGATTTTTCGGATATAGCGATTTCTTGCTCCTCTTCTTCTATCTTTGATTGGGATGCTTTTAGGTCAGTCTATGGTTTATGAACAGTGTTTGGAAGTAAATAATACTTTTCCTTTACCAAATCTGCTTCTATTTCCTTTCTCTTGTTCCATAATACCTGTTTTTATAATTGACTCCTTTAACTAATGGGTCAAAAATTATCTTACTAGAAGTCACTATTTTGAGACTTTTGTTAATTGTCTTATTTTCGAGCAGATCCAAGCCTTCCAATACCACTACCTGTCTTAATATTCCGGATAGTGTCTATACTTAATGTATAAATTTACTTTTGTTCTGCCTTCGCCCCCATGTGTCCTGATTTAACATCCGATTTTGCCGAGGATCATTCCTAGAGGACATAATTCTACATGAACTTACTGGTTTTCGACCCCTAGCATCTGCATCAACCTCTTGAGGGGGCATCTAAATTGGTCAAAACCAGACTCATACTTCTGGAGGGTCATAAATGTGGTGTCTTGTTCCAGATCTAAGCTACATCAGAGGAAGCTTACTTCACTTCGAATGCTTGAACGACATATATCTATACCAATAAGAGGAGCTTTTACTTGTCAAAATGGACTCCAGCATTGTACGGCCCGTAATATTTCTCAAAATTTGTGCCTATCTTTTCAGACTCTTTGAACACTTCCTTCTAGAGGTTTAGAGGAGTTTAGTTACTAATAATTTCTCACACCCTGAATATTCTGGTGGGGGAGGGATCACTTTACTATTTTTATTTGTCTTCGTTCCCATTAGAGTCGGTCATATCGCTATAAATCCTAGATTTAGGCTGAAAATTACTCTTTATGGCGCTCCCTCTTTCTGGTGAAGAAGTCTGACCCGACTCTTTTAAGAAATCTTTGAAAATAAGTGAGTTTTATGCTCTGTTTTCGCTTAGAGCTTGCCTGGAAATTTACAGTAAAATTTACCTTATTTCATGCTTTTGGTATTTGCCTTGAAGAAGGTTTTGGGCTCTGGGGCTAGGTTAATGTTAAGATATCACCAAAATGTTTGTGTCGTTCAGAAACAAGCTCGGTGAAAATTCTAATTCTGAGAGTTTGAAGTGTAAAGAAGTTAAGTTTAGCCAAGAATTTTGGGGCTCTTCAGAAGAGTCCTAGGCTAGGGTATTTACCTGTAAGGTCGCTCCTCATCCTCTGATAAGGAGTCTGAGTCACTTCTTCCTTAATAGTGGTTGAACCTGGGAATAGAGATTTCCTGTACGTTGAATTGGAAATTTTAGAGGATCTATATCGCTTTTTAGGATCCCAAAATTGTTTGGTTAAGCTAAAATGGGCTTAGACTTACCGATGACTGATCCTCTGGACAATATCATCGACTGACATAGTACTGCTATAGGACTTTGGCTTCCTATCAGATTTCTTAGACTCACTCATTTTCTTAAATTTTATATAATTTTATATTTCAGGGTTTGAAATGCGCTGAGGGGTTTTGGGGTTTTGGGGTTTTGGGGTTTTGGGG